GTGTGAACTGAAGGAGTGCACAGGTTCATGCTGTAGAGGGCCAAGGTGCTGTGGTTCTGTGCAGCTGGGGATGGTTAACAAGAACCAAGAGGCAGCACAATCTGGGTGAAATAGAACTGCCCTTGAAGAGCACTTTAATGAATTTGGAATTGTTTTCAACTGAATCAGAATATTCTGGTAGTAAAATACTCCAGACTGACATGTTTCCCATAAATCTACAGATATTATTAATAATAGAGTCTGGCAATGAATACACTGGAAACCAGATCCATGATTCAAAACCCAAATCCACAAGGGGAGGAAGATTTTCTAATGCATGACCCCTGGGATGGTTTCCCCAAGGAAAAAGGGAAATTCACTCTACCGAGTGACCTCACATCCACCACCCTCCCCCGAGCCCTTCCCCAGCCAGCCCTAGAGAATGGAGACCTGGAGGTTGGGTCTCCTGCAGACAGCTGTGAGAGTTCATTTTCCATTTTGCAAACTAATTTTGTTCTTGTCAGTTGCAATGCTCTGCCAAGTGGTAGATGGGAATTTCTAAATCAAAAACCACTAACCTCAAACCACAACCAGCCCGTGTCAAACTTCAGAAACTACTCCCAAACCAGAACGTATGGTAATAATACTCTAACTATTTGTAAAATATTGCCAGGTTTGTCACGTTTAGAAAATTCATAGCACGTTTTTGGCACATAATCTCTTCTAAATAATGGCGATAAAGATGTATATATAAAAATGTATGTTTTTAATGGCCCTATTTATTTTATGGATGCAAGACAGTAAGTTAGCTAAATCTCTGCCATCAATCCATATGGCTCAGGTACAGATTAGATCCTTGCAAAGCCAGTTGTTTATGTCTCTTAATCCAATTAGGCTGAAAACCTTTGAAATTTATTGAGAAATGGTGCAGACTTTTGAGTTGCCAGGGTATGCGTGTGCACATGTGCGAGTTTTACCTCCTTTAGATGAGATGCCTTATTTCATTGGGGGGAAAAAAAACACTGAAATGTTTTCAGATTTATGAAGTCAGAAGCATCTCTGACAACTTGTGAGAGTTGTTTCGTTACTTTTGTTGCTTCAACATAAACTAACAACCCCAGGGAAGCGCGAACCTTCACTAGAATTTAAAACTGGAAGCCTGAACCTCCAGGCCCCAGCATCTAAAAGAGTTGCTATAAACCTTGACAGGAGATTAGGACCAAGACAGGGCTGGGGAATGATAACCAAGTCCATTGTGAGGCAATAGGAAAGCCAACTCTGAGCTCAACAACTGACGGGGGAACCAGGGGTGGGGGTAGAACAGGGTAAAAGCAAATTTCTGGGAAAGATACCAATGGTCAGGAAGCGAGACAGGCGTGGAATTTTTCAACAAGAGATGAATCTCCCTCAGAAAGGGCAAATAGAGGCTGCTCCTATGGAAACCCAGATGCTTTTCTCCTTATTTGCACCCAGGTTGTTAAACAGTCTCCACTAATCACAGGTCCACTCTGTTGACAAAGTGCAACCTCATTCCATCCAGGACTGCCTGATGCACACAGGATCCTAGAGCCAACCTATTAGGTCACATTGCCACACCCAGTCTTCAGGTGACCTAGAAGTTTCTAACTACATGCCACAAGAAACCTCCCCTGGCATGCTCAGCAGCCCTTTTACTGATCTTCAGATGCTTCCCAGGCTCCATTAAATTCAATACAAATATTCTCTGGTTTTTTTTTTTTTTTTTAGTCCCTAATTCAGTTTTCATTCCCTCTCACCATTGTGTGATTTTCATCATGGAAAAGATGATTCATTGAGTATTTTCACTTAATACTTAGGGGGCTCTTTTGGACACTAAGCTAGTGAATACAAAGTGGTATGGGGTAGTGAACATTTTCAGATTTGATTGATACCTGACTCAAGCACTTTGTATCTGTATGACCTTGTGCAAATGATTTCACCTTTCTGAGCCTCAGTTTACTCATCTTCAAAATGGGACTAAGAACACACATAGTAGATGCTAGATGAAGGATGAAGGAGATCGTACATGTACAATCCTTAGCTCAGGGCCACTAACATTTAACCTTTGCATCACCTTTCTCTGCCTGCTTCCTGATCATGATTTTCAAAATAATTGCAAGTTCACATAAATTAATTTTCTCAAGGTAGCTTGGAACTCTATTAACAAATGGTTAAAAGTACATGTACCATGTTGGCTGTGAGACCCATGAGGTACCACTGTAGGAGGGTGGCCCCTTTAAACATATGTTCCTGTTTCTGTTCCCTCCCCAAATATCATCCGACCATAACTGGTCTTCACTTTATTTCTAACTCTTTACACAACACAGAATTCTTTAAAATTCTCTCTACATTGTTGGAAACCTTATTCCTCCAGATTTGATTTCAGATGCATCCTAATAAGTACATTATTACTTCTCTTAGTCATTAATCAATAAGTCCAAGAATATCATAAATTGAATGCCCACTGTGTGAAGGACACTGAACCCCAAACATGCCAGAGTCATGATGCTAATATTTTTAAGACTTCCAGCATTTTTTCATGCCTTGTCAAATGTTCAAATATCCCCCAAATTCAATTCTAAGAGGATTGTCTGACTTAAATTCTTGAGACCTGATTTTCCATCCACTATTTTTTTTAATATACACCATTGAATTTGTCCTTATATATAAAACTCCAGATCACATAATTCTTTGTGATTATCATCCAATATCTCTTTTATTTGTAGAGTCAGCAACTGGATGGTGTAGCATAAAACATACTCTACACTGACATTCCTTTTATTAAAAAGCATCACCTTTTTCCTAATTGAGATCACTACTTCAATCTCTAGGGGGTTTTTTTGTACTTACTTATGTCCAACCTTTTCCGATTCTTTTAGCTTTCTCTGCCACTATTCTTCCCCATAAACTCTTACCTAGAGATAAACTGGTTGACTTACTGCTTGGCAAGCAATAAGTGGCTTCTACTTGTACCCACTGTGTACCAAAATATCCCCTTCCCTCCTCTCTCCCTGTCAGCCTTCTCCCCTTTATTAAGGACCAGGTCAAATCCCATATCTCTCATGAAATCTGTTCTGAGTGTTCACATTGGGAAATGTGTCCTCTCTCCTCTGAATTCCTTTGGGGTTTCTAGCTGAGCCATGAGGTGAAGCTGCCTTATGACAGATCTTTTTTTTTTTTTAATCTTGATCTGTTTTATTACTTGACATGGTGTGTGCATACTTTCTCTCCTAGTTAGCCTGAAGGGTTCTAGTGGGCAGAGATCATTTCTTCCTCCCACATCCTGCCATTCCTAACATAGCTCTTTACGTACAAGGTGCTACATATGTCCCTGTTTCTGTTCCCTCCTCAAATATCATCCCACCATAATTGGTCTTCACTTTATTTCTAACTCTTTACACAACACGGAATTCTTTAAAATTCTCTCAGCATTGCTGGAAAACCTTCTTCCTCCAGATTTGATTTCAGATGCATCCTAAAAAACATGCTGTTACTTCTCTTAGTCATTAATCAGTAAGTCCAGGAATATCATAAACTGAATGCCCACTGTGTGCAGGACACTGAACCAAGTGCTTCTAAGATAAAAAAAAAATTAGAAGAAATGGCACAAAAGGGAAAGAATGATAGATGATAGATAGATAGATAGATAGATAGATAGATAGATAGATAGATAGATATCACTTAGCACCAAAAAATATAAATAGGGTAAATTGATATAATGATAAAGCATTAAGGGCTTACAGAAGAGCCATTAGAATATATTATACTTAATTGGAGAAAACTTCATTCAGACCCAAGTTTTCAAGGAAAAAGAGGGCACAGGGGACCCAAGAAAGTAGGACCCATAATTCTCTTTGCTCACCAGCAGTTTCCCACCACCTATCACAATGCCTAGTCCACTATAAACTTGCAGTCAGTGTCCCTTGAATAAGTGAATGCCCAATTACTGAAAGAAGGAGTAAACCCCATCTGAAGAGACCAGTTCATGCAAAAAGAGCAAGCGTGTCTTGCTTGCAGAACATCAGATGTATTTTCCTGGGTAGAGCCAAGAAATGAAGTGCAAAATAATGGAGAGGAAAGAGAGAAGAAAAATGAGGAAGTCTTGCCAAGATTTTGGTTTCAACAGATAATAATAAACACTATTATCCATTCATTCATTTGCTCCATAATTATTTATTAAGCATCTACTCTAAGCCACAGCTCTAGGATAAGACCTGGGGATTCCATAGTCTCTGCCTTCAGGGATCATGCAGCCTTTTCATCATGAACTAGTAAGTGGTGGTGTACACTTGACCCTTGCTATTGTTATTCTAACAGTATTTAGTGTAGGAGAGCAATTTGTCCAGCCTCAGTCATATATGGCTCCAGCAGAAAGCAGAAGCCTTAGTTGAAATGAGCTCTGATATGGAATATGTCATAATAACAGATGATCTGAAGGCAGCAAGAAGGATTTAAAACTTAAAGAACAATTTTTAGCTTGGAAGACTGTCCGGAATTTTTAGAATGGATATTGAGTAGCTGTGGAACAAGACTAAGTTTATTTACAGTCATACAAAATTCCAGGTCTGCCAGTTCCCTTGGTTTGGGGTCTAAATGATGGGTTAGGAGAGAGGAAAAACAGATAGGCAGATGATTATGATTTTTTAATGGATTAACATTTTCTTTAACATAGTTCCTTGAGCCAAGGTTGAAAGTCGATTTTTCAAATTTAGAACAGAAGATTCAGATTAAATTTAGATGTTTTTCTAAGTTTAGAAACACACCTCTGAGGATCAGATGACACAGAGAAAATTAATTGTAGGGCAGATATAGAAATGAATGAGACCTCAGAGCAGTACTTCCAACAAGGTTTCATGGGAAGACCTTGGTTGTTTTGTTTCTGACACCAGAAATCTAAGATCACAGCCTGGTACTAGAAGACTTCGGCCGCGTTTCCCCATGTATCTTTTTTTTTTTTTCCCCTTTCTTTACTTTTTTTTCTTATTTCTTTTTTTTCCCTCCAGGATGATGGCCTCCCAGAAAATGAACATCAGCTGTCAGTAGCTGGAAAGATAAAGAAGCATTTCAACACAGGCCCCAAGCCGAACAGCACAGCAGCCGGAGTTTCTGTCATAGCAGTAAGCATCTGAAATATCCACCTCTAACTTTTTAAAAGCAACCTGCCTAAGAGACAGGCATTACTCAGGAGATTCCACCCAGAAACAGCAGAACAGGTCATTTCTTTAGACAGCTCTACCCACTTAATGCACACGAGGAGGTATGGGGTTTATATATGTGTGTGTGTGTGCAAATCATTTCCCTGGGCATCTCATCATTATCCAGCACCTCCAGGGTATCTTGCAGTATATATTAATTTCACAATTTATTTTTTTAAAGCAAAAATTCTCCCCCACACTGGACTCTGTGCCAATGCAAACTTTTTGGCTCTCAAAAAAGAGAGTTCACTGAGTCCTTTCTCCAGGACCTAGAAGAGAGGGGAAGCTGAGAGAGACAACATAGCCAGCAGAGATTGGGACACCACAGATCTTTATACTAAAGAAAAATACATCAGAAGTTTGCACCATAAGACTGAATTGTTGTGAATACCCAATGAAGCCATGATGTCTTACTCCTTGGAAATTTCTGTTCTTAAAATTTGAAGTCTTTTACCATTTACCATTTTATTGATGCTGCTGCATATGGCCTCCCCCACCCCCATTTTTCTTTCTGTTCTATACATGCAGATATAGACTACATGCAATTTGATAGCTGCTCTAGGCAAAGATTAAATTGGGCCAAGAAATAATGAAACCTCATACTTCCTGGTGTCATATTCTAAAGTAAATATATTCAAGTCCCAGATTGCTTGAGTTAATAATTTCCTTTTTTCCAGAGTATGTAAATTTTAATAGCATATTCAATGTGGAAATCACTTGAGCTTTTTTGCTTTTCTGAACAAAGAACTTAAGACACGATGTCAGATTTTTAGAAATTATTTATGCTTTTCAACATTCCTCACGCTCATGAGCAATACCGAATGTTTAACTCCTTCTAAGGGTGTTTCTATTTTCTTTCTTTCTTCTTTTTTTTTTTTCTTTTCCTTTCTGGTTTTGCTAAAGCTCTAAATAAAGCGAAAGATAAATAAGGAACCTATATGCTACAATCAATCCCAGATCTGGGTTACTAAATGTTTCATATGGGCTTCCAGAATTTGCAAATGGTACAAATGCACGCACACTCGCTGTGGTACAGTGTGCATTCCATGTTTCTCAGCTGAACCTTTTCAATAGTGAGTTACATGTGTGTGGGTAACTGGCACATGAGCAAACAGATGGTGCTAAATAGAATCCACACTCTTTCAGATGCTCCTCAGTGCTGCTGAGGTTTTAAAATTTCAAGGGGTTCTTCTTGCCCTCTCTTTAGTTCTTTCTAAGAAAACTCAAATTGTCCTCCACTGTCTTCCATTTATGGTCAGCGTTCTTTGTTACCAGCCAATGCTCAAGTCACTTTTGGCCAGTGACAGTCTCACGATGATGCTCAACTAAATCGAACCACCTCAGCTCTGTTTTCATTGTTCATTCAAGATATGAGTCCATTCCAAAGTGTTTGATTCCAGTTGTCCACGATTTTCTTTTGGAATGGGCTGCCAGCACGCTTGTCCATGAAAAGGGACTGCTCCTCTGCTCCTGCTCAGAGCTTACCACTGCTAGAAAGAGTGCCTCCGCCACCTCTGTCATTTTGTTTTTGTTCTCTTTTTTCCTGGTCTTTTATTTCAATTAGTCTTCGGTTGAGTTTGCCTTGGTTGCTTGATAATGGTTTGTTCGCAGTGTTCTGGGAGTCCTACAACGACTAGGGGCAGAAGCTTCAGGGCAGTTTTTCAATTGACAGAGGACAAATACTTGAGGGGAAAATCTTATTTTAATCAAACCTGAATAAATTCTGAAACTTAATATCTATAATTTTATTAAAACTTCATCTAAATGTCTCTCAAAACATCCCAGTTAGTATTTGAAAATCAAAAGTCCACTGATTTTTTTTGTTTCCTAAATATGATTGCATCACTTTTGAATGCAGTGTTGAATGTAAATTTCTCAGTTTGTCACTAACATGTTTTCCATAGAAACTGCACACATCGGTAATATATTTATAAACCTCGAGGTAGCCTGTGTAATGCTGAGTTACACATTTGTCTCATGCTTATTTCATGTTCAGCACCTACCAACTTTTTAAAAGACAATTATCAACTTGACTCAGATTCAAATTAATTGGCTTTTTTTTTTTTGGAGAAATATATCTTAGAAAGGGCCTTTGTCAGCTCTTTGACACGATTCACATGTTAACTGCTATTATTAATATTTCAAGAGAATATCAATGTAAATTTCAGAGGCTGTTTCCCGAGAAGCTGATCTGCCGTGTTATGTGAATTTATGCACCTTCTCCAAGGTGCTTTTCTCTCATAAACATCCCTGCCCTCCACAAAGACCCCAGGGAGGTCATGAGTCCCAGGGTGGGGCTGGGAAATAGAAACCCAGCCAGCCGGGCTGCCTTTGTTATTAACTTTCAGAATGATGTTGGATAAGCCCATAAAAATGTTTCCATTCTTAAATGGCAAAGACCAAATGTTATGGGTCTGTCACAAGAAAAAGGAACCCTGGCATTAAATAATATTTCATTTCAAACTTAAGTATGGCTGCTGAACAACAATATTCTGTTGTGAGGCAGAATATAAGTGGAAGGTAGAAGAAATATGCTTTATAATTGGTATATCCTAGGAAGCCCATTTGACAGCTTAATAATTCAATACAGTTATTGGTTTTGTCTACATCATAAGAAGCTCGATAATTAATATAACACAGTCGTGACTTCTATCTGATAGAAAAAGCTGATTTCAATGTAAATTTCATTCAGACAGAATTTTTTCCCTAGCATATATGATCTCCCTGAAGACTATAAAATTATGTATTTTATTTTAGATTGCCTCTATCATGGTACCAACATTTTGGAAATAATGTACACCCTTGGAAAAAAATTCAAACTATTTAGATTATAGTGTCAGTTTGTTTTTGTTTTTGTTTTTGGCAAATCAACAATTAAAATAGTCTTTATGAAGATCTATTTCTTGATCCTTGGTTAGAAACCTCACTACCTACTTATAAGGAAATTCATGACACTTTTTCTCTCTTAAAGTAAAAAAAGAAAAAAATTCATGACAGACTCGATTCACGGATGTAATTTATGACAAGAGCATAGTTAAACATGTGCTTATGGTTCTGAACTGTAGTGTTTTTGTTCCTGTTGTCATTTTTATTTTCCTTCCCTGCTTCCCACCCACGACATTATTAAGACCAAAGAAAGCACAAATGATAACTTTATATGAAGCTCGCATGAGGGCTTCAAGTTGGCTCGGGGAGTAATTACCAGCTGAAGGTTCCCAGGGATCACAGGTTCCTTCCAAAAGACGAAAGGTGTTCTGACATCGGGTCAAGCAATGTGATTAGGTGGAGACCCGTGGCTGTCCTTAGAATTGCAGCATTTTGCCTCTTAGAAAGACTCCATTGTCCCTTTGCTACCTTTCCCAGTAGTTGGGAGATTTAAACACACACACACACACACACACACACACACCAGAGAAAGGGAAACAAAAGGTTATTAAAATGCAATTTATAGACATAAAGTGGAATTAGAGATGACATTTTAACGGTGGACTTTTGAGAGCTGAGGGAGGAGAGGGAGGCATTATTAGATTTGCTCAGCTTGATGAAGAACCGATGACTAAGATGTCAGTTCCAATTTATTTTTCTCCATTTAATGCTGTTTATTATTTTAACCGATAATTTTCCTAATGCTTTAAAGTTCTTATTTTGCATTTTGCTCATGCAAATAGAGCATTTCAGTCTAATTGAACAAATCCATTCTAATCAGCATGCATATGATTGTGATACTGAAAAAAGCTTAGTTTTGAAAAGACCTTGTTCCATGTTATATGGCATTTTGCCTGTAGATGGCAATGGAGAACCAGTTACTCTGTAGCCATCTTTGTGGCCTAAAACAGATGCATACACCATCTTCCTAAAAACAAGTGTCCTTCGATTTTTGGTTGTTTTGTTTTTGTTTTCCCAGAAGAAAAAGAGGTATGCATTTTGAAAAAAAAGATGAAAAACCTCACGATGCTTTCCATGAACAGTAGGATCACCCAGTGTCTAATCAGAGCATTGAGTCCTCTGTGCAGTTTTTAGTTCAAATGCCTCGTGCACTGGCATGGTTTGCAAATGCCTTTGTGAATTTAGAAGTAGAAACTGTCATGAGCATCACACCAGTGCAGCACTTGAAAGAATTCATGGGCCTCTCCCTAAAGAAATGTGTGCATCCTATCATGGACAAAATGGGAAAGTGGGCGTACAGCATGATTATTGTTCTCCAGGTTTCGAGATTAAACCTTTTATTCCCAGGTAGTCAAAGGCTAACATCTTATTCCAGGTGAACAATTTTGAGAACTTACCCTGTTCTTCTAATTATTGTACCTTTTGTTAATCATAAGCACTTAACTGTACATATGCCTTTTTAATATACAGTGAAAATTATTTTTCATTTTATTTTATTTGCCTTATTTTCATAGAGAAAATTTACTGACTGTTTTATACTATATCTCTTTAGATCAGAAATGTAATTAGAATTCACCTTTAAGAGTAACTCTGCTTTTGAAGACCAACTCTTAAAGAAATCCAAATTGCTGCGATTTGTGGGGTTTTCAAACCTGATTCTTTCCCTCTTTAATTTCATAGATATGAAGCCCTCAAATTTAAACCTAATGGGGTTTTACTGTTGGGGGGGCAGGATGAAGTTCCACACTGCTTTCTCTTAGGCGGCTAAAGCTGATTTCAGTACTTTACTTAATTATAAAGTCTTTTCTATTATATGGCAATATGAAAAAGTGTTTAAAACTTTTGAAATCGAGAAGCCAATTAAATGTACATTCGGAAACTTGTTTGACAAACTAGATCTATTCTAACAAAATGGCCTCCAAGATATTCATGAGGGATTAGTGTCTTTTCTTGCCTTTTTGTTTTCAATGTGCAGATTTAAGATATTAGCTAGTTATCCTGCAGAAGAGACATCGTCACTTTATATACTTATGTAGTTAATGAAGAACAGCTTGGTCTGGAGTCTTAATTCTTTAGCACAATGTTGATCCACTGAGTTGCCCCATTTCTCTCTGCTCAGCTGGACCACGGGTTTACCATCAAGAGATCAGGGTCTTTGGACTACTACCAACAACCAGGAATGTATTGGATAAGGTATGAGATGGTGCAGCTCAACAGTCAGTGTTTCCATGGCAACGTGCTGGCAGTCTCCATTAACCAGTTCCTTCAGTGGATAAACATGCTTTTGATTTGTTATCCAGTCCATATGCTGCTTTATCAGTTTCATTTTAATCTTGATTGAGATGCCACACCCCCTCATTCCTTTTTTTCACCCATTATTCACACTGACATTTGCCAGCTTTCTTTCCATTGCACATGCTCAGTATCAATTTCCCTTATGGCTAAAAGGACAGTATATTTAGTGCTGATGCCAAAGCATTTGCCTGATGTTGTTAATTGAAACAATGATTTTTCAGTGCTATTCTGTCCCTTTACAAATGGAAGAAAAACAGCACATTAGTGTATGTTCTATAGAAGTATACTGTCATTTTAAAGTCATCAAGCCCAACCTTGACCTTCTTAGATGGATGAAACAATGCATTTCCACGTTAGTAGTAGAAGCGCCTCCAAGTACAGTGGGCTATAGAATGCATTGTGTGTGTTGGTAAGCTTGTGTTTTCCAATTCTCCACCTTTTTGTTTTGTTTTTGTTTTATTGTTACCTCTCTTCCCCCCTGGAAATCCCTCTATGTATTAGCTATTGCATGAATTCACTTTTCAATATTTTGTAACTGTCAGATTATTTAGCTGGCCTATCTGCTCAAGCAAAAGAGTCTATGGGAAATATTGATTTTCTTATTAACTGGGTTAAAGAATTTTATCCCATCATTTTCTATTCCAGTCAATGGCCCTAGCATTTCCTGCAAGGGGCATTGAAATGTGTCTATTTAAGTTATCCACAAGCAGGATGGTTTTTGATGGATTGAGAAATGAACTCTGAGAAGTTCTAAGGAACTTCTATTCTCCATCTTAATGTCTCTGAAATCATCTCCAGGTAATGTTCTAAATCTTAGTGTTCGCCAAGAAAAATTCTGCTGGTTTTGGCATTTGTTTCCCCCAAACAATGGAGCCTATTGGGAGAAATATAGTGTCATCTGGCAGTTTCATAAATTAGTGTGCCAAATTTTACCAAAAAAATATAAATATGTGATATATATGTATAATTTTAAATTTTAATTTTATATAATTAAGCACTCAATGAAAAGGACTTAGGAAAGCAGAAATGAGCACCTTCAGACAAATTATTGAACTATACTACTATCATGATAACTCCCAAATCTGCTTAAAGCAAGAAAACACCCAAGCTTCATTAAGACATCTTTAAGTTATTTGTATCTATTTGTATCTTTTGGATTGATATGCACCTACAAATTGCACGTCCACCTTTTTATTTACCTAAGTAAACTGGCTCTATAGATGGAGAAAGAACCTTATTTCTTTATTTTTTTAAAGGGGAGGGTGGATTAATCATGATTTGCCAAAAAAAAAAAAAAATGCCCGTCTCAAGGGAGATTCACAAACTGTACACAGCATAGAACATTCCTAGCACCTCAGGATCACCCTCCCCAGACCCTTCCAGGAGGGTCACTTTGCCCCAGAGATAAACATTGACCCCTGAGTCTATCTGCATTAATTACCTTTGCTTGGTTTGTACTTTATATAAATTGAATCACACTATACTCCACCCTTTTTTTAATCATGTCTCCTAGCCTCAGGCATTTTAACCAGAAATATATGTGTAAAGTTGATATACAAATAAAAATAGGCATCCGGTATATCTAATGACAATTGTGCATACTTGAGCAACAAAAATTATACACCTAAACTCGTCTAATTTCATAAAAAACAGATAAATCTCTAGAAATCAAATTACTAAATTTGTAGGATTAAGGATAGGATTAAGGATGGGAGCAAAATACCAAGTAAACATAATAATTAATACTCATAGCCACATATAAAAAGGCCATTTAACTAAAATCCTAGTGATGGTTCCCTTCAGCCGACAAAATGACATTTCCCTGAATAATGGGCAGGAGCAGATGGGAGATAATCTCTTTATTCTTCCACACATAAACTGCTCTGTTTTCCAGCTGGGGGCAGTAACAACAATGTTTATAGTTAATGCTGTACTGAACAGCGCACCCAGTATGTAAAGCTAAATTGGAGAAATGATGCTAAAATCTCATCGGCATCTATGCTTAATTAGGAAGTTTTATAATGCCATTTAGCCACAGAACGAACACACTCCTCACTGTTGGCAAATGCTTGCCTTTTATCTCCACAGAAGTGGGAGCATTTGTCTAACCATGGTGTCAGCCAACTTTCTAACATAAACAATCCTTATAGGCAAACAGCCCTGCTCCCCAATTGTGTTTACAAGTGCTTGTGGGTGTTCTCACTAGCCTGAGCAGAACTCTTGGGAATCGCACTTGCTTTTCACAAAGCAGCCCACATGAGGGAATAGACTGGGAAAACCATCTCCTTGGGGTGCCCAGAATTGGCATGATCCCCTTAATTGACTTTTTAATAATGTGGAAGAATGGTGGGGGTCCATTTTCCTCTTTCTCTCCTTCGTCCTCCCACCTTCTAACTGCTTGCAAACTTCAACTAGGGAGCAACATCCTGTGGTTGACTCATTTATCCAGGAGATTGTAGTCCTGTCACCAGAGTCCAGGCGGTACACTGTCCTATGAACACGTTCACTGGGCTATTCCACACTCCCAGGGCCCATGAAGCCATCATTTTCCCCTCTGCTGCAAACCATTGAAAAGCATTTAATTCTGTTACATTTTCTTCCTAAAAAATGTGTCCTTATCCAAAGGCACATGGTCACATGCATTTCTACCTCTCTCAGCTAAAGCTGTCACTGTGGCAGGTGCTGTGGCCGACAACATGCAGGAAAGAATTCTGCATCTTCAGCACACAGAGCAGGGCACCAGCCAGAATGGGATAACCCAATGAAATAAAGCAAATATCAAAACAAGACATAAGCTAAAAATGCTAAATAAGATGAAATGGGGAGGTGAAGTAGGACAAAAGGGTACTTGGGTTCCCAGGCATGACGTGACTACAATGTGCATATTGGATGCATATTGGATTCAGCACTATCCTGAAACAGTGAGTAATGAGGCAGAGCGGTGGCAGCCGTGTGCCGTCTTTGCAAGGCTATTAAATGCTGTCATGCTCGGTTGTTAAAAGAAATGGGGTCAGTTAAATGCATCTCACTCGATGCAGGTTTGAAAGAACTGTTCCCCTGGAAGCTAGGAAGGAAGTGCAGCATGGTATGAGAAGGGCTCTGGGGTGAACTTTGGCCAGCAGCCCCCAATGCACACAGAACTTTGCAATGTTGTGTTGTAGGCTGCTTGGTGGCAAGTCACCTGGGCCTCAAGAAGGTACTCTCCACTGAGTGCACTGCAGTGTAGATGCCTCTGTTCCAGCAAGGAATTGATCACCCAACCATGACCTTCTGAGGCTCCCTGTGTATCAGAAAGGTGGTGGCATCAGAGGAGGGTGATGTTAAGCTTAACACATAAAAAAAAAAGCATAGATTAAGTTTTATAAACTCAAACTGCAATAAGAGAGGCCTCAGGAAAGTAATGAGGATTGGTCTTGCAGTTGTACCTTGTTACCCAGGAGTGAGTTAATTCCGGAAGTTTAAAAGGTGAGCCAGTCCTATGCCTATTGCAATATTGTGAGCAGTCATTGAAATAAACAAGGGAATAGTGAGTCATCTGTGTTGTTTTACCAAGTCAAACAAGTGGCTTGCTCCTTGAGGTGTAATTTTGACTCATTTTGTTTTGTTTTCAGAGGCCCCTTTGGAGGGGATTCCAACAACATATATGAATCTTTATTTTTAACTTAATGTATTTGAAACTGGAAATAAGAAAATTCGATGGCATTCCCTTATTCATTGGGTATAAATTGAATTGAGAGTGAATTTCCTGAGATTCTTGATGATTCCATATTGGTTGACTGTCATGTGGTATTGTAATTTTGACATTGGTTTCCCTCTTTTTGATTTAGCAGTGAACATCTACATTCTTTCCTATATACTCATTCCTACCACATTTTGCAAAATTTCCTTATCAAACTCTTTGCTGTGATTCAGATTTTCTCAGGTGTGAATATGTGGGAAAGAATTTAAAGATTGTGGCTTTGGTGTCAGGAAGCCTTGGGTTTGGATCTAGTGTGTCCTGCTTCCTGCAGAGTGACCTTGGGCAAGTTATATTCTTTCTTTCTCTGATTTTCAATTTCCCCCAGTTAGAAACAGGAGAAGAGTATTATCTGGCTTCCAAACCCATGGTGAGCTGTATGTACACAAAAGTCTTCACAGACCCAGCCCAAAAAATAACTCAGAAAAAAACAGCTTTGTGTTTTCCTCACTTCCAAGAAAAAAAAAAAAATTATCCACTCTAGAGTAGAGGCCATCTCCTGAGAAACTTATCTCTCTCAAGATCAAAGAATGTGTGACTAAGGTAGAATCATGATTTTTTTTTTTAATGCTCTGACTGGGATAAATTACTGAGCAACTTTTATTTTTCATGAGAATTTTTAACATTAAGTTTCATTTAAAGTATCCAGAATCAAAAATTCCCAATGATATGTAAGTTTGAGTAACTCTCCTCTAGGGTACAATTGACAAAATCTAGGCCACTGCCTATTTTTATGAATAAAGCTTTATTGGAGCACAACCACATACATTCATATACAAATTGCCTGTGGCTGCTTTTACTCTACAATAGCCAAGTTGAATAGTTGTATAAGAGAATTATATGGCCTGAAAGCCTAAATTATTAACTATCTGACCCTTCCTAGACAGATCTTCCAAACTCTGTAATGATCTCTGTAAAGATCCTCCCCCTGTAATGATGCTTATTCCATTAGATCACTCTTTGGACTTGCTAAAACTATCTCCACTACCCAGAAGAATGCCAGGCACAGAATAGGCTTTCACTAAATATTTGTTAAATGAATGAACGAAATGTTGAACTGTCCAGAGATGGGACTATTCTTCCACTGATTTTCAGGATAGATATGTTTTGAAGGGTTTGGGATACTTTAAAATTTGGGCAGTCAAGTCACATGAGATGCTCT